ATTGTTTAAATTTATTTCTTCGATAATAAAAACATTTTAATTTACAATTCGTCATTTGAGCATATTAAATTAATTTTGCATAAAATAATACTAATGTTTCATAAATTCTCTTTACGAAATTTTAATTTTAAAAATAGAATTTCTATAAGTTAATTCACCGTTCTCACTCTCTCTCAATCGGTCTCAATCGCTCTGTCCCTTTTCTTCGACAAAAACGCTGCACATCCTGCGCTCATGCGCCTAAAGAAGTTCCGCTTAAAAAAAAATTAGTTAATGAGTTATCCCAATTTTAACTATGATATAACAAAAACGAAACCACTATTTCTCAGCGGTTGCTAATAGGATCAGCGGTTCAACCGATTTCCAATATTTTCTGTGTCCGCCAATGCAATATTTAGATACAGAAATCGAATAACTTATTTAAAACTATTGTTTGAATAGCAAGTGCTTTGTGTTCTTTTTTCAAAAGTATTAGAATTGAAAAACGCTAAAAAAGGATAAGGACTCATTATATAATTACGATAATTACATTTTACTGTGCTCATGCCTAACTGGCTTTTTATGGTACTATGAATGTTAATTGAGAATCAGCAGATCTTTGGACGGTCTTTGTACTTGAATTATTAGTTTCAACCTGTCTCTGCGTCTATTTATACAAGCCTTTTTCTTATTAGTATAGAATTATCAGTTATATAAGCCCTAAATGTCAAAATTTGTTCAATACATGTACCCGTGTCTATTTTCAAAGTTATTTTTATTAAATATGCTAAGCCGTTTGTATAAGAAGTGTTCAACACGGAAGTAAAAAATGGAAGACTTGGAAATTATCGATTTTAAATAATCGCCTTAAAATCTTTTACATAATGCTATTACTCTGCACCAAAGGTAAACTGCTTACAGAAAATCGCTACATTTTTGCAACTTTGTGAGACTTAAAGGTTTAAAATTTCTTATTGCTATTTGCCATTACTATTAGGAAGATTGCTTTATTATCGTTCTATGACTACTTGTTGTAATTATCGCTTTGTATTATGGTTTATTAAAAATATAATAAGGAAAAACAATGCAAATATTTCTTGCAATTGTTTAACAAACATTAAATAAAAACAATGAATTTTAAAATCCTTTGTGCGTTCTTAATGTTTGCAAACATTTTCGAGCGCGAATGTTTACTTCTAACTATATAACTATCTAAACAGTAATAACCAATGCGATAGTTTCACCGTTTGCTACATTATACCTAAGTAAGAGCACCGATGACGCTTCATGCTGCACTTATTAGGAGCCTGTTCGAGTCAAATTCAGTAGTTGATGCCCTACGAACGAAAATTTAAGCCAATACTAGAAAAAGTACAAAAACGGTTCTTAAAACAACTTAACCGGCGTAAAAATTACTATTACCCCTCGTACCCAACTGCATTTTTGCAGGGCACGTTGGGGAATGAATCACTTGAACTACGAGAAATCGGCAATCAACTGAGCACTTAATGAGGGGTAGAACAGACTGCATGAATTGCTTCTGGATTTGCTTAGACTGTATGTGCCTGAAAAGTATTTCAGATCCCGGAGGCATGCTCTGCTGTCTGAGAGCTCACGAACTGTCCACCTCCAGCAGTCACCAATTCCGATTATGATCTCGCTCCTTAACCGTTTTCTCAGATCTTTTTTTAAAGTAGAAAATAAACATTTTTTAGCAGTTTAAGTTTCTTTGTAAGTTAGGCTATGTCGTTCCACAATTTAGCGATTCTTAAGGCAATTTCTGCCGCGCACCACCACTATGTGGCACTAGCTGCCCACTGAAGTATTTCCGAACCAATTCGACTTAGGGTCCTTCAAGAAAAAAGCGTACCAATTCTTAAAAGGTCGGCAGCGCGCTTGCGAGCCTTCTGGCAGTGCGAATGTCCATAGGCGGCGGTATCACTTAACATCAGGTGAGCCTCCTGCCCGTCAGCCTCCTGTAACATAAAAAACAAATAAAAAATGTATTATAGTTAACATATATGATGTGAATTAATAAATAAATAAGATATAGGCTACTAAACGTAAAATGATTAAAGTCTAGCCGTGCGAAGGTAGTACTTGTTTTTTGATAATTTGTGAAGCATAAGCGATTATTTATTAAATCATTTATTGATTTAATTACAAACAAAAATACAGGGAACCAAATTCGATGAATAACACATAATAATTTAATTTTGCTTAGAAAAGTTAGATTACTCATTTTTCCGGGGTTATATTAATATATAGTCTGTACATTTAAAAATCTTTTGTTTATCTATTTCTGAGTTTAAATGTCATAGACAAAGATTTGGCGCCCTTGTTGGAGGCACCATTTATTATGCGTCACCACTACAGATTAACTTAAACGGCACTAAATTGTAATGAAACAATTTTATGACAAAGATAAGGCACGACTGTAAGAAAAGAAAACTTTATTATCAAACTACGTAATAGACTAATTTGTTACGACAATACCACTTTTCAGCAGCAAACTTTAAAATTAGTAAGTCCTCGATGACCTTATTACTTAACAACTCTTTGTACTAATGGTTTTCGAAAGTTCTTTATTAAAATAAAGGAGTTTCAATGTTTTTATACTAATTTTTTATGATTGTATCAGTTAATGTTTAGCCTACGAAAGGTTGTGCCGGACATTCTCGTGCACAAGAACTAAACCTATAATTTTTTTATTACCTTGCACACTCAATAAGGTCACACACTCACACTAATAAACGACAATGTACAAGATTAATATAGAGTTTTGAGCACCAAGAAACAATATTTTTTTATTATAAAGTTTTTTTTGTACTCTAACTCATGATTGTCAAAATCTAATACAGTTTTGACGTACGGGAGTCAGACTTAGCGCAAAGTCACATTTCTTAGACTGTAAATCTTACCATTAGTAAATATAACTCGATAGTAATTTCTTAATTAAAGAATAATAAATTAAGATTCGAGAAAAGAACGAGTAACAATAGTAGTACTTTTAAGAATTTTAAGAGCAACCAACGCCTTAATAAATTACATTATGCTATGACATCGTGACTGAATGGGGTCGAGACAAAAGTGAGTCGTAAAGAACGAATGAATGAGCTGTTTCATTCGATGTCTTATTTCGCTCGTTAACATTTTGAGATACTTTCTTGGTTACGGTTTTGATAATGAATTTCTTTCGTAACAATATGAGTTGTTTATTTCAATTTACCAATTAGTTCTAAAAAGGAGGTTGAATGCGATCTTAAAATATAAATATGCTAGTCTAAGTCCAACAAGTATACTCAAAAATAATAAAAATATATCGCAAGTAGTAGATTAAATATAAACTAATTAAGATATGTATATATTTTAAAACTGTTGTTGTTGATGTGTATAATTCAGCTACAAAATATGGATCCACGTTTGTATTCCAAATATAAGACATCATGAATTCATGAATGAAGAATCTTTTTCTTTATACCAGCAAAGCAGTGAAAATATGTTTCTGCGGTAAACGACGATGCGACGAACAGCTTAAAGTTTAAAATCCCGTAACCTACGTAGGCTTTTATGCCTTTCAACCCAAACTAATTATCTTTCACTGAGAATTGAACCCAGGACTTGTTAGTACAATTGAGCGAGATCTTCAATATATATTGTGATATTTATATACATCTATATAGTCACTTTATATATTTATATAGAAGCCGTTGGTTGAAGTCTGATATATAGCAAATTATAGAATTTTTGGCGATTCATGTTTATATACTCTCAAACGTTATTCAATAGACCTTATTAAAGAGTATTATTATTCACTAACTATATGCTCATTTCACTTTAAGTAATAGTTAATAGCATAATTAGCAGACAGTAAGTGATTAAATTCCAAATATCAAAATTACGCCATTTTGAGTATGAAACAAATGAACAAATCAACCATTTAACAAATTGTGCTTTTTGTTTATTATGCATATTTTATGTGGCAAATATGTCCGTGACTTCATTGTCGTGAAAATTAATTGTCTATTAACATATATAGGGAATTAATTGCTTTAATATACTGTGGTTATCATATTCGACTGCAGACCATGAAGTCTCGGGTTTAAATCCCGAGTTAGGCCGGAAATAAAATATGTGCTATTCTAATTTTAAAGAAAGAAAGTTAAATTATAAGTTGGCGACTTTTGAGTACACATAGCCGGGATTATGTTCTAATATACTTGATGTGCACGTGTGTAAAATTAGTGACATTATATTTTCTTGTATTTTTTAAGCTTCTCTTGTTTTAGGACTAATTAATTAATTAATTAAGAGAGATGCTCGAAGATGGTAATCAGCTTGATTTTTCCTACTTCTTCAACATAATTTAAATTTATGAAGGGATGTCTCATTATAATAAAATATTTTAGATAACCCTGCAGGCAAAAGCCGAAGTGAGCCTAGTATGAATACCGTTTATCTGATAAAGATTTATTTGAGGCGGTAAAAAGTATTTACGGGCCCATTAACACAAATGGAAGAAACAGATGAGGAAATGATCAATGTTTTTGTTTCACTCCGTATTTGGGTAAATTTTCTTTCGCTTTTCTTGAGCGTTCTTATAAACATAATGACTTATGATGAAGCCATTATTCTTTATAGCTAAAGCATTATGTTATTGATAACTAACTTGGATATTAAAATCTTTGGGGCGCTTAAGCCACGAAAATCATTTTAATGTATTTTGGAATAGAGACATGGGAACAATGAATAATCTAAGACATAATTATTATGGCTTGGTTGATTTCCCAATAACTATTCAATGTAACGTCGGTTCTTTAAGGGTAAAATTTATAATATTCTTGTCGTATACACAGCCCTTGTCCCCTTAAAAAGCGGTTATATAATATAGTTAACCACTTTAATTTGTTATAAGTTCTGTAATATGCTTACCTTTGATAATCGATGGGAATTAAATTAAATAAAAACACATAATCAGACTAATCTATATTTAATAATTATTTGAGAGATGATTCGCGTGTCTATGGTTCTAACACTGACATCACTAAAGTGAAAAAGGACATTCCCGTTTTGATAAACTGAAAAAAAATACAGTAACCTGATGTCAATTAGAGTTATCACACGAATGTTTTTATCTAATCATATTATTACACATTATATCATACATATATATCTGATAAAGTTAATAGTTTCCTCGCATTAAATGCCTTGATGCACAAACAAGAATTATTTAAGAGTTTCCCGCCAAATTTAGTACAACAAAATGGCGCCACCCAAACGATGATTGGCGCCAAATACGCAGTACATGACCGCGCATGCCTTGAGCGGTGAAGCGCTATTTTCATTCCACTTTTAAAATATGCAATCTTTTTAGTTTTTAACTTCACGAATACGACCTACGTGTACTAATTTTGTTTAGTGTAAAATTACGGTTTTTTTTGGACTTGCATTTAGCTTTAGAAGATAAAAACTTTTTATGTACATTTATGTGAAACATAATAACTAGATTAAATAATAACGCTAAAATATTACCCATGTGAATGTAGGTAGAGAAAGCGTTATAGATCCAAATACGAAAATAGGCATCCTTTGACTGAGAGCCATATTGAAGATTAATACGTTGATTTTATGTTTCCTATTAAATATGTACCATTTCTCTGTCACTGCTAATTCTAGTTTTTCACACTGAAATGTATTTAAATATAATAAAAATAAAGGACAATTTCAATAAGAAGAAATAAAATAGAAGGATCAGGGACTTTTTACCGATGTGTGAATGAAACCTTGGTAAATTTTGACTAGTTCTTTGAACTTAAGATCAAACTAAAGCATTAACTAGTTCTATTTGTTAATATAGTATTACCTGATTTTCAACTTGCTGTCCCAACGCGCAAAACATCAATACAACAAGAATAAAACAAAATTCATGTATGTAGTACTTTATCGTGTTCAATGCTAGTTTAGGCTGAAAAAAATATATCGAGAATCACATTATATAACATACATGTATTACTTTTTAGTTTCTCCATAACAACGTTGGTAAGTCAATACCTATATAAGTCGTATTATTTTCGATTTATATGATCTATATCGGTAAGATTTTTTCGAGTGCCATTCAAAGCAAATAAAGCGTTTTTGGTTTTAAAGTTTAACCATTTTTAAAATGTACTAAATAAAATTAACATTTTGAAATTAAATTTAACATATTTAGATATCGTGTTAAACTAAATGAAATTGATATTCGGAGTTTCAGCTACCAGGGTGCTATTGATATTCGAAAATATTACTTACAGAAACTGCAATCTTCACCGAACATACACAGACTAGCATGATAGCGACCAGTATCAAAGCCAAATAGAATGGCTGGCAAATAACATTAAGCCGATTGGCGAATCTGTTCAAATTGATATTTTTTTAATCGATTGGACGTTCATTTAACATCGGATTAAGTATAAAGAATGTTAGGCTGTGTTTTGAAGGTTTAAAATTAGATTAATCATATTATTTGTATACAAAACTGTCAAAACGAACAGCCCTGCGATTCTGTAACTCACTTTTCGAACTCACACAGCGGTTTTCGCATCGGCGGTCGCTCTGAAATCAGTCGTGAAGCAGTCATTTTATGATTTGGCATTCTGAAAAGGTGGGAGCTTGTAGTTTATTGTTTATTAGAGTGTGAGTTACAGAATCGCAGGGCTGACCTCTGGGAATAAAACTTTTGTAAATTGTTTTTGAAATTTTTGTAAATTGTTTCTTCTGTAGTGTTAGCCTAGTTGGTAGGCAGGCTTTGAGGACTCTAAACGCGTTCCAACCCCGGTTATGTACGAATATTTTCTTTCTAGCACGATATACACTTGCATTTATATTGTTATTTATTTTAATAATCATTTAAATATTAAAGAGTATAGAGTAAAGGCCAGTCGCGTACTTCAAAAAATTTACCATCATATTTTTGGAATAGTATAATATTTGAGTGAGATCTATTCATATATGTGTTGTCATCAAATGTCTTGGAAACTAAAAGTCATATGGCGATTAATTTTATGTTTTTTAAACTTGTATAGTCCAAGTTTCATCAAAATCAGATCAGTAGTTTTTGAGATATTTGTCCACGCATTTCATGCACATTATGTTGAGGGAAAGTACTTTCTAAGTACCCTATATAAGTATGATGTAGTATCTTTAATGGTACTGAAATTTCGCTTCATTTTATTTTTCAACTACATACTTATAATGGAAAATTCTTGTATTAATTTTGTCATATAACATAAACGCATCAATAACGAAATACCTAAGCCTATCTTCATAGATTAATATATGTTACTAACCGTTTCGTTCTAACATAATGCTGAATACATTGTGATAAAACTGAAGTGCAAGCGACTTGCCACCTCTCATTTCTAGTACCAATCACTTCTAGAACCAAGTCATCTAGATAAGTCAAAATGAATGTTATTATTTGCAGTTGTCGAATCACTTGACAAACGAGAAAAATTATCATTGCCTGGAGACCGGGATATGCTGAAAATAATATTGATTAAGTTATATTTTCACAATAACAAGTGGTTGAAAAAAGTGAATTTTTCGTGTATTGATCTTAGTATTTAACGAATTAGTTTCAGCAGTTGTGGCCAAGTGGCTTCAGCGTGCGACTCTCATCCCTGAGGTCGTAGGTTCGAGCCCCGGCTGCACCATAGACTTTCTGTCTATGCATTTAACATTTGCTCGTACGGTGCATTACATTGTGAAGAAACCAGACATGTCTTAAACTCAAAAACTTACTTGCATATTAGAAAATACAAATGATTACGAAACAGACAAACAAATCAGAGGCTCAGATTTATTAATTTTTTATTTAACAAATCATAAAGTACATATCATAAACATTATTTTTGTTATTTCGTTTTATTTTTTACTAAACAATACACACTGTTTTTAAAAACCCCGGGTATATGTACAAGGTACTTATAATAAGTTCACGGAAAAAAGATTAACAATTCAAATAATGTATGTCAACCGTAAGTTTTAAAAAGTATTATTCTACCCACCTATGCAACATAAATACCCAGCATATGCGTGAAATATGAATGACCCAATATACACATTAAAATCATCCAAGCTCCATGGAAACCACATATCAAACGCTAAAAAAATAAAAATAGATCACAATATTTGATTATAGTATTCTTTATTAACTGTATAAACGGATCGTTCTCGGTTCTGATTTAGGTGTACCGTCAGTATTATTATTAAGTCTGGTTTTGTTCGTAATGTGTTTTCGGATCAGCGCCGATCGTTGTACCGATATTTCAATTGTACTCATTGTTTGCCATTTGATAATGTTAGGCTTATCCAAACAAACAATGAATAGAAACAAAAAAAACCTTTCGGGTGTGGATTTCGTATATTTTGACAAGAATTTCCGATAATAATTGTTATAGTTAATTTAAATAGAACTATGATGTATCTACACCTAAACCTTCATGTGAAAACCATACAAAATTCCATTTGATTTTGAGTTTATCGTGTTTATACAGATTAAACGGGGGGCGTTCATTATATAATACATATGTAAGTCTCAAACCGAACTAAATCGAGTACGAATCAAGAACTTACCGTACAGCAACAGTGACCTCTGAAAGAGCACCAATATCGACGATGTCTTTCTAACATTTACTCGCCAAAATGAAAACAATAAATCTTTAGATAATAGTATCGTTAATGAATTTTTGTGAATGTTTCTGTTCGTGAGCCGGGTTTTAATTAAATTTTTAGATATTATTTATTCGAAACCCGTAAATGTATATGAAACATGTTGGTAATGCATCGGATGTCGATGTAATCAAGACTAACGTTTTAGTTAATTACAAACGAAGTCTTTAAGCAAGCCATAGAATTTAAAATTAAATTGTTGTCAGACAAAACGGTGTCGCATTCCGTTTGATTGTGATTGGTCAAAAGCATATACACGCATCCCGCAACACGACACGTCATTCTGCTTGTCCAATCACATTGACACGCACAGTTTCGTGATTCGTTTTACATTCAATTGTTTAACTCAATCTCAACGCATAGATTTAAAATAAAATTACCCTTATACATACCCAAGAGTCGTAAATTTTCGTCTTCCCTTATAGTCATCATGTAAATCGGTCCACAAAGATATAATGTAGCGCATAACCAAACACTTGCGACGTATGTCTTCAATAACATTTTGGTTACTTTAAAAACTCTTATTTGAGAACTAAGTACTAGGTTCTTCAACTCGTGGAGCTTACCAGTCGTAGTAGGTAACGATATAACTGACCTTACAAGTGGTATGTCTAAAGCTCGATCACAGAATGCCATTTCTTCAACGAAAGCCTAAAATTAGCCATTGATATGTAATAGATTAAAAAGCTGTACTATATTAGTACTACCACTAATTGCATTCGTGATAAATATTTAAAAATTAAGTAAATTTATACAGACATACCTGAAAATCCTTTTTAAATACCAAACAAATACCAAGAGAGATAAACATTATAACTCCGGTTGTCCAAACGCAAGCTCCTTGAATACATACCAGCAAGTTGGATAGATTCAATATCACAAAAACCGAGGTAAAAATAAATGTTAAAAAACCTAGGAGGAAGTTAAAAGTCTGGATTATCAGCCATCCTTTGGAATTCCAGTTGGGTTTTGCGAAAATCGAAATTCCCGCGAAAGAGAGAATACGATCGAAGACTTGGAAAGTTTCATCCATGTCGAGTGTTGAGAAGTGATTTATTGGAGTAATAGGAAATTTTGTGTATCATACGGTACTGTCGCGAGGAAATTAATTTAATTGACATAAAGTTGTACTAATACGTGAAAAAGTGCATTTGTTTGTTTTTAGAAATTACCTATAAATGTCATTTAGTTTTCACAACTATAAATAAAAGTTTTGATTGGTTATTATTTTATCTCCGTACCTTGGTACGGTCAGTTGGAAAACTTGCCTTACGTAACATTTTTTTTTATTTTAGTTAACGACACGACGAGAAGTATATAAAAGATAAGACAGTAAATATTATAAGAAAAACTGTCACACTAAGAACATAGTGTTTGCCTAAAACGACGAATATCACTTTCGTGCTCGACTGTACACAATATAATGATTTTCAAGGGTTGTATTTTGAAATGATAAAATAAGTATGTTCTGTCATATTTCTTTTTGTATTGTAATTGCGATAATAACACATGATTGACACTTCTTTTATATATTCGTAGAACACCTTTATATTCCTTTTATTTGATGTCTTTTTTGATGACTTTGATTTATTAATTCTCTGGTCTTTAGTACGGAAATTTTCAGAAACACGTTCAAATAGAGATCGCATATTAAATTAAATACATCATTAACTTATAAAATAGTTTTTTTATAGAGAAAACGCGGGCGTTTGGCCCCAGTGGGTAGGTGGCTCATCTGATATTAAGACCCATGGATAATTATAGTGCCAAAAGGCTCGCAAGTGTGTTGCCGCTATTGTTATACTCTTTTCTTGAAGGACCCCAAGTCGAATTGGTTCGAAAATACTTCGGTGAGCAGCTGGTTCCGCATAAAGGTGACAAGAACTGCCTATAAAACGCTTATAGTAGATATAATGGACGTCCAGATAAGGATGATAAAACTCAGCTGCAGATACCTAAACAACTCCACAATCCATGGTACAGTAGAAGATGCATAGAGACCCTTGCCGCTAAGAAAGTGACAGGTCCTAGACGATTCAGATCGCTCTTCCTTGAATACGGAGTGGAAAGAGGGTGCTCTTTGATTTGCTTTAGTCCCCAGAGCATTACCAGAAAACGATGATTTTTGTGAGAATCATTTTAGTCAACCCGTCTACGTAACAATATTATTTAATAAATTAAGATATTTCAACATTTTACCAGCTATAAACCGAAATTTGTTAACAAAATTATTATTTATCAAAAGTGGCAACACATTAGCCACAAATACGTAGCATAGCAGCATAGCTATTGCTAAGCTAAATTCGAGTTTCATTGCTTTAGAGTTCTGAATTTAAACTGTGTTGATTTACACCGACATAGATATTCGCATTTTGTTACAAGAAAAAAAGCTTTGCCTAAAATTAATTTATTGCATATATTAATATCTTCGTATATCATTCAAAGTATAAACTTTAAATCGAGTTACACACCTTAATGTAGAACGAATGTTTAAAAAAATAACATTTTTGAAGGAAATAACGCAGGTTGTAATTATACAGTATTTTTTTACGTCGAAATATCAACTATACACTCCAAAATAAATCCACAGCGTATTCATACACGCTAAATATAATAATTAAATTCTTTTTCCATAAAATTCCAATAAGAAACTCGCACCACCTCTATGCTACATTTTTATTTTTCTTGTTTGGCGCATTTTGTTGAATCTGTTAGGCATAAGGCGCGTTTTAAGTTAATCGTAAAATGTAACGTTAGGGTACATTTCTATAATTTCTACTTACCAATATTAGTCATAGATTTTATTACATGTTCATAGAACTTTTTGGTAGTCAAATAAAAGTTCTGCGAAAGATTCTAGGCCTGATAAAGATGAATAGGAAATTGGAGAGTTAGGAAAGGTGAGGAGATTTCGGAATACTCATCGGAAGGAGAAAGTCCTACGCATGACTAGTGGCCGAATGGCAACCAGTGGCGCGCGATCATAGGCATCTGGCGTTCGGCTAAGGCACGCTTTGGGTCGCTGTCCCAGCAGATTAACTGTAGGAAGATATGTAAAATGTATTGATAATATCGACGTCAGTCTGGACACAATCGTAATAAAACGTTTTATTGTTTAATAGAATTGATTAAGATCATATCATATCCAATCATAACGTTAGTAGGTAAATATTATTGTAGTACTTATAATGCTTAGATTACAACAAGTATCAATTAATACCTATGAATTATATAACTCGTTGATACATTTATGATAACACAGAAGAAACACGATGTTCGTGCATTTTATACGTAATAATTGAACAATGAGAATATTCGTAGTGCTTCTCTTGTTGGGTATTTGTGAATGTCGGAGGTTTACAAGGTGTAGGCTTGCTACTGAGTTGATGAAAACGTCAATTATCGACAAAACATTCCTTGGTAACTGTAAGTATTAAGATAACTCACTAATATTAAGGAGTAGAGACAGCTATGTAACCAATGAATATCCAATCCCTCAGACTTATTTGATTGAGACCAGCAAACCTGTATAGTGTGTTTTTTTCTTTTTCATCCGCCAGAATGGCCTAATAGATCACCAGATCGATACAAAGGTCTTCATTACCAAGGAACAAACAATTTACATTTACATACATTTTTATTTCTTTATTTATATGTCAACTAACAGGGGTTAATTAAAACATAGGTAAAAATCTTACTTACAAATTTTATTGAACTTTTATGAAATAGGTAATATTACCGCGTTTGATGATTATTCTAGCTATATATTGCTAATGAAGATCTGATAGGTGATAGGATCAAGGTTACGCAGACTGGAGAGTTATTTTCATTACCTATACATAGAGTTTTTATTCTCCTTTATGTAACTCAAAAGTGATTTTCTAATAAGTTTCGCTAAAACAATGCTATGTTGCAAGACAACATTATAAGACAATTTATTAATTTGATTACTTTATAGTCGTAACTTCATAATTTGTTTTGATTGTTATCTCACGTCCATACTGCAAAGTAAATTAAAAACTTATTTATAGTCATTATCTATGGTTTAATATTGTCATCACAACAATATTTTTACGTTAAATTATACGTGTATATTAAGTTATTTTAGTCTTAATAAAATTCTTAATATTTTTAATTCACCGATTGACACGATTACATTCTACTGTAACCCTATTTATAATCTGTGCATACTTCCTCGTCATTTGACATTGACATTTTGCTCGCGCGCGCACTTTTACGCCAATACGTAAACGATCGTGATGCGGTATGCATGTGTGATTATTTGTTTGTTTGTTTGTGTGAGTGCTAAGCGATTTGAGACAAGATGCAAGCTAGCGCGGGAATTAATCAAAGTTGGAATGCCCACTGATGTATTTTTTGGACATTGTAAGCATATTAAATAACGTTAAATAATATATCGCATGCAAAGTATAAAGTTCAGTTAGTTCCGCTGCGAGTTACCTTGAATTTAACTAGTTTTTTCGGTCATGAGATTCCATTGTACGTATTTGCGTATTATTGGTACCACCTCCATGGCTTAGTGTTAACGTACGTGGCTTACCAGGCTAGTTTCACGTCCCAGGGAAATATATATTGTTTCAGTTTTAGGCACAGAAACCTATCCACATTATAAAGACAATTGAAACATAAGGAGAAATGTATCTGCTATGGCCTGTTATTGGACTTAAAACATGGCCAAATTCTTTAAACGTGTTTTAACACGTACTTCCTGTATGGTGTAAAAAACATTTTCTTACTTAAAATTTAAATCTTGTCTACATAAAAATTATACAAGGAAAAAGTTATCTTTGGAATATCTGCTACACGAATACCTATCTACTGATAAATCTAGGTATACATAATATAAAACAATGTAAAAAAACATAACACAAGAAAGGTCAAGCCGGGCTCGAACTCATTTAAATAACGCGTATAAATTGAATTGATTTTAATATTTACATTTAAATGTTATTGCTACACGTTTCGTAATTAATTAAATTTTAAATCGGCTTATGTGTTTTTACAGCAATGACACACTATTCATTTCGTAAATTAAAAAAAGGTAAGTAGAACGTTTAAAGAAATAATTTATATTAATGTACCAAATGGTAGTAGTAGATTAAGGCTACATACTGAAAATGTGTGTCTTTGTGACAGGTACGCAACTATTTACGTAAACAATTCAATTGAACAATCTTGTTTAAAATCGTTCGCTTATTATCATTATCGAGAGCTAATTGATTAATTATTGATTGAATAAAAGGGTAACACCATGAATATTTAGTGACAGACAGACAGACATAACATTTATTACAAACGAAAACACACACACATAAACACACAAAATAACAATACTTAAAGAAAAAAATAAAATAAGACATCAAAAACAATAAAATTAAAAAAAAAACCCTTTTGCCATTCGGTTCGCTTCTAGTGTGCAATGTGTGTGTACTGTGGTTGTAATTGGCCCTGGCTCAGCATTATGCTGAGGAGCAAAAAGTTCCACAGCGCTGGTCATTCTGCCAGAGACCACAGAAGCTAGTTTGCGCCTCTAATAAAATAAAATAAATAATAATAATACCAAGTAGAAAATAATAATAATAATATTAAAGTTAGAAGTGTGAGTAATGAATATCGTGTGTAACGGTGTATAATAAATAAAATTAAATTAAAAGTTAAAAATAAGAATAATTGTAAATAAGAAGATATTTTTTGTTTTTGTTTTTTGGGTGGATAAAAACTAAATTCCGTGGGACTTTTGTTGAGTAAGTAGATGTGTCTTATAACTGCGACTAAAATTCGACTTTAATTGAAGACTCTTCAGCGGAGGAGGGATATTATTCCAACACTTCGTCGCGCTATATTTAAAACTCCCACGAAATGAAGCCGTCCGATGCTGGGGAATGGCCAGCTCCTGAGTACAACTCCTGACTTGGTGCTTGTTGGCATTACTACGCCAGAGGAGCTTTTTGTATAAATATTCCGGTTGTTTAGTACATACCACATCAATTAATAAACATGCCAAATACAAATTTTGTCGACCCCCGATTGTTAGAAAATTTAAGTTGTTCAAATAGGGGGTGACATGTAGTGCTAGAATTTATATAATTAAAACAAACAGCATTTATATTTAAACATTAGTGCATACAATTAATAATAATTAAAACATCAGTACTGTTTATTGAATTTGATATAAAGATACATACTCTGTTTTATTAAATATTAATCAGCACTGCACGAGAACTGTTAAACAATGCTGATTTCCTTTTGATAACTAAAACGAGTACTACACATTTAAATAATGCTATATAAACGCGACTTTATTTTATAAATAAACATAAAATGCCTTTATATAATCATTTTTATAATCAGGATTTATGTAAAAGAAGTTTTATATAAATCCTCCATCCATCCATTATCAGAAAATGTTACAATATATATTAAATAGTGTTGGCCTAATGGCTTAGCGTGCTACTCTCATCCCCGAGGTCGTAGGTTCAATCCCTGGCTGTGCACATTGGACTTTCTGTTTATGTGCACATTAAACATTCGATCGAACGGTGAAGGAAAACATTGTGAGGAAACCGCCTTGTCTTAGAACTTAAAAGTCGACGGCTTGTGTCAGGCAAAGAAGACTGATCACCTACTTGCCTATTACGTCGACAAATGTTCATTAAACATGTTTACAAATCTGAGGCCCAGGCCTAAAGTAGTTGTAGCGCCACGGATTTATTTTTATATAATTTTTTTAGATATTTAACTTGCAAATAAACTCCAATCGCCAAGTAGGATAGGGACAGTTAGACAGAATGGTTACTTTGAATTAAGTAAAAACCGTCGTCAATGGACCTGCAACCTCGGGGAGTAGCGGATTTGTTGCCGAACTCTCAGGGAGTGGTACGCTCTTTTCTTGAAGGCACCTAAGTCGGTTCGAAAATACCTTTACTGCCAGCTTGTTCCTTGATAACAGATTTCATATGTTGCAGGGGTATGTCTGATTGAGAAGGTCAGTAACCGAGATACTAAAGCCTTTGTCGTTACACCGAGCGGCAAGAAATTATATGGATTATATCAGGTATTATTCATACCATACATACAATATGGTATATTATTGATTTATTTAGAATCTTGCTCAGCACAGACAACGCTTATAGGGAAACATAACGAAAAAAAAATACATCGATTCATAAATTATAAAATCTACAGAAAATTTGATTTCAGTGTGTTCACGATTATAAAAGTCAGTTTTATAACGCAATATAGTTTATGGTAAATATCGTTAATTATCAATTACATATATAAACATAGCGATTCCTGTTTTCAAAGGATCAGGATAGGATTTTTGTCCATCAGTATCTTGTTTTAAACTATCTACTTGCATTTAACATAATGCGTTTTTAGGTCGTAGGTGCATGTATCTGGGCCGCGAGAGAATCTTAGTGAATATTGTTCACATACTTCAGGGGACGTGTAAAGCTTCTCGGTGAAAATAGGCCAGACATTTCACGGGCCTTTAATTTCTATTTGCCGAGTGACGGCTCCTAACTAAGCCGACGTCTAGACTTAGAATCCAATTCCATGGGGCTATTCTTTTTAAAACTATTTAACAGGTTACATTACAAAGTTAATTTGGCAGAAGACTAACGAAGAATATAATATAAATAGTATCTAAAATAATACTGACGAGAGCGAATACTATCCCACTCAAAATATTTTTATCTGGCCTTCCTTTGAACGAAAATCCTAATAGACCTTCAATAATAGTTTTCATAATATCATTTAGTTAGAGTGGGGTTACAATGACCGATTAAGTGTGTCTTATACAAATACGAAGCGAAAGACCTATTGTAATTCAAATGAATTCATAGTAGTACTGATACAATCTTGATTATAAATTATAATGTTTTTCTTAGTAAATGCGTAAGTGACAGTACAATCAATTGAAGTATTTTTATAATCTTCGTTCACAGATTCCCAGTCGATGGTGTCGTGAAGGGAAGAAAGGTGGCGAGTGCAATGTTGCTTGCGAATGTAAGTGCTTTTATCCAAAGAGTTCTTTTACAAAAGCCAAGTGTGAATATAAAACGAAAGAAGAAACTATGGAACTCAAGTCCAATCATAGACACGCGACATTTCATTTCACCAATCACAATGAAAGAAAACGCGCCTTTATCATTGCGTTTTACATTCACACCCCATCTTTTGCAATGTCTAAAAGTCAAAGTTGAATAAGCTCATTCGCGGTTTTTATTTATTATAATATTTGTATTTTTATAATCATACGCTACTTATACACTTCAAAAAGTGGTACGAAATAGTGTTATTATAAGCAACAAATAAAATATAAACGAAGTAAATTCCTTCAGGCATAAAGGTTCGACAACAGTTATTGGTAGTATTTATGGGAATTTAGTCCTTAATATGATATTTTAAGAGCCAATTTTGTATAAACAAAATCTCTTTCTTTCCCTAGGTCTATTGTAGAGTTTTATGGAGCGCATTTTACGTTCGCGGCAATTTTACAACGGTCAAGTACCACTAGTAAAATACTAAGTGAACAAGTGCTTTTTGGTCGTATTTTATTTTTCAAATCAAGTTGAGGTTGCCAGTTTATTGAAATGAAATTTGGGAATGGACTGAAATTCATAATTATTTATTTACACATTTAATAACAGAGAATTTTGTTTGCCTAATTCAAAAGTTGGTTTGATTATTTCCATATAAGTATTAAAATCTCTTACAACTTTATTTTAAAGGCTTTTTCCTCTTATTGTATCATTTCTTTATCAAAACGCTTCAAACATACAGAATTGGCATTTATAGTTTCCACTCGGATAAAATTAAGACTTCCGTTATTTAATACCCATAATATATTAATCATATTTCCGTAAGTTGAAATTATTTTATATAGTAATTTATAGAGTATACATTTTTAATTGGTCTACCGGTTCTGTTCTTACAAAATAATTTAGCCACCGTACCAAGATGTACCTCAAACCTAATATCGCATGAATAACGACTGCTCGTTATGCATAATATAATATAGTTAGAATAACTGTCGCCTAACTATTGCAGCCAGGCTAACTATATTACGGGGGAAGTGGTTTCCACAATGTAGTTCAAATACAATTTCTAGACTGTGATGATAAACTAATTTCCTTTAAGCTGAGCTAGATATTATCTCCTATTAAAAATCTAGTATCTACGATATAATTTGCGATAAAAAGTAATTCAGTTTCCGTAGTGAATTTGGAAAACTATAAATGGCGAATCAAATTTTTGTATGAATAATATTTGTTTTGTAGGTACAAGTTAAGTTCGGTGTCGGTTGTTGGAGGGATAAGCAATTAAATGAAACTGTTTGAAGCTGTTTGTCAACTGGCTTTAAATATTTAAAACTGACATAAAATTAGGGATAGTGGGGTTGCGACGGTGGATTAACAAAAAATAACTTGACGAATTTTTGGGTTCTTAAATGTAGTGTACACATCTGTTACTTATAAAGAATATAAGTGTAATTGATCTGTTGGACATTAATGGAAACGAGAATGGTGGTAAAATTTATGAGTATAAAAAACATACAGGTTACAGAACTCTAGCAACCACCACTTCTTGTACACATATTTAAATGAGAGACTTGTAGTATTGTCTTTTATTAACATAACTTTTACACATTTAAAGAAAGCACTTTTTTACCGGATTGAAGTTATGTTTATTAATAATTATAAGCTTGTAATTATTTTATATGATTAAAAAAATTCCGACGTTTCGCGTGCTTTACAGCGTGCGTGGTCACGGTGACTGAAGACCAAAAGGTGTTGAATGTGAAAAAGTAGCTGTAGTAAAAGTTGTATTATCTGTATTGATTTCCCCGGAGTTGGTATCGACTAAAAGATGGAGGGTTTTGGCAGAAATGACCCACGGTGTCCTCTATTTTCGCGGATTGTTTATCTTGAGATTTTAATTTGGATATTATTGGATCCCAGGTGTTTGACAATTTTAGGCCGTCTTCTGTATTGAAAATGGGGTGTTTTTTGATTTCAATGGATTCGCGTACCAATCTTGGGAAGAATCTTTTATCATTCGCAAGTATTTTCGGTTGGTCAAAGCGTATGTAATGATTAGGCCTATCTAGTGTGTGTTCACAGACATAACTTCAATCCGGTAAAAAAGTGTTTTCTTTAAATGAGAGACTTGTGTTTTAATATTTAGTAATAATTATTGTGTTTGTCAATACAGTTAATAATTTTGGTAAATATTTGATGCAGTCTGCAGCTTGTATTATTGTTATTTTATATAAATAATTGCACTCATAATTTCCATTTGTAGTAAGGGATTCTGAAAATCAGCAACGAGTATTTTGCTCATTTAAATGTCTATCTGTGTATTCAGATAAATAAACTTGAGATTACGTGAAATATATTAAATTAACAATGTCCAGTAACCTTAAGTGAAACCGCTGCCCTTGGTCGTTCAATAACTTTTGCAGGTATTGAAATTCGATAGGGCATTGCCCTTTTATAAGACACTAATTGACTTCAAACCGATTTAAATAATATATATATAGGAAAACTTCATGTAGACATACCTAATTATATAATAATTAACCAAAATGCTGTCATCTTAGTATTAATAAATGTTGTGTTATGAATAAATACTCAAAGTATTCATAATGAGTATCAGAATATAATCCATGTCTCGGTATAGATGATGTTCCTATTGTGTCGACGTAAAAACAATTGATACCACTCAACAACACTCTTAGGTGTCATGAAGTAGAATAACGATCAAATAAGGCTTTTATTTGTCATTCCGACGAGAAATCGTTAATTTAAATATACATTTATTTAAATAAAACCTTTTTCTATTATGTAATTTATACGCTGTAAATAACTTTTTTTTGGATAGGAAAATTTGTTTATTATTCTTGAAATTTAATATATTATAAAAATGCTATATTGATTGAAATCCTTTACATTCCTCTATTATGGTGTAGCAAAAATTATAATATTTACAAAAACGTAAATTTTATCCTTGGCTTTTATCCAGCTTTGCTAGACGATGACATTAGGGATGACACAGCGTGCGCAGTGAACATCTTCCATCGCGAAGGCTTCAAGTACTGGACCCAGTGGTCAGCTCGATGCAAGAATGATAACTTTATAACAAAGGAAATATATAAGTAAGCATTGTAGGACGAAAGTTTACTAACGGATTTTCTTTCTCTATAATAATTTAAAATAAGTTTTGATATATAGAAATATTTAATTTAATTGCTTTCAATTATAATTATAAATTGACATTCGTATGCTAGTTTGACATTTCTGATTCCGTGTTTTTCATCCAAAATAATATTTACCAATTCCAAGGCAAATAATTTATTTATTTTATTTGAGTAATAGTATCTTTTGTAGAACGACATTTCGATTCGGAACTAATCATATTTAGTAAACGCGCTATTTAAATTGAAAGTAATTAAATCCTTGCACTCTCGTGTTATGTTGAAAGTAATAATTGAGGTTGTAAATGTTAGTATTACAGAGAAAATCGTGACAAATAACGAGCGCTACAGGTCGTAAATATGAATATTAATATACATTGCATTATATATAAAACGTACATTTATATAATTACAAATACATAATGAAATTTTATACTACTTTAGAATAAAAGGAATAAAGTATCAATAAACTTGAGTTACTTATGTTAATTGAATAACTTTAATCAAATTAGAGAACTAAGTTTAAAGAAATATGAATGAACCTTAAGAGAAAAATGCCAAATGCATAGATCCTTATGTTAGTCATTTGTTAAATCTTCAATTTGCATAATCAGCCCTTGGGTCACATTGAATCAACTTGATGGGTTGCATTTTAGCTCTCATTAGAAGAAAATGTTTTGTCTCTAGGGATAAAGGCGTGTGCACATAATACTAAAACTATACATTTATCCCTCAGTTTGATTATGATCAGATTTTATTTACGATTGGTATATTGATAACATATAAATAGATAGATAAGTTCTTAAAACTTTGTTAACACACATAAAAAATAAGAATTTGTGTTTAGTTTTTGACTTAAGCGTTTTTTTGTCACGTATTTGATATTTTTGATATACACGAAAAAGTCAAAGTATTAACTATAGCTATTAGTAAGTAACCGTATATGTTTCGCATAAAGAGACACTATTTTTTCTGTACTGAAATAAATAACAGTCTAAACGCCAATTCTTGTCCTTTATCCATGAGACTTTCCTGGGTATTTTTTTAAAGTACTTCGTTGACGATGTATCTTGAATTTTACTCTCCTATTCATAAGTTATAAGAAATTATACGAATGTTCAGATACAATATTATACTTTAATATAGTGTACAACACTCTTATAATAAAGTCGTCGTCGACTTTTTAACTTCTGGATAAATACAATTAAAAATTCAAATGCTTTTCTCTGAGCTCATTGTTATTTTAATGATTAAAAACAATAAGATGCCATTTTCTGAGTAAGAACTTCTTTTAATTAAAAATAAAACTTAAAACACTTAGTGACCAATATCTTTACAGATTATTTGTGGTAGCATTTAGAGGTTAGATTTAGCGCTAAGTACCTACTCCCATACGCCAAAAACTCGTACTCTAACATATAGGCAACTCTGATCTCTTTAAGGTAAAAGCAGAGAGCCTTAAAAAATAAAGTATTTATTACCTGTTTACATGTATTATTTTCCAGGTGTCCAGATCTAATATCCCCCCGGACAAGTCCCGAGCGAATGTTGCACAGCGACTCATTGAAAGTCAGGAGGCGGTACGCTAGAAGTTCTTTACAATCACGATATAGCTATTTTGGATTACAATGGTTACAGTAATATGTGTTTTATTACCCCTGCTTTTTTTAATATAAATCATTGGGTGGTGAGAGTGTAAAACAACGGACGAAAGAAAGAAGAGACTGATTGTGATTGGTCGACAGTTCACACAATCACACACATGCGATATGAATTATTTATAGGTATTACTCATATTTTTTACGTTTTATGAATCAAAACAAGAACAACATCTACAATACACAGTCTCGGAAAAAGAATTGGAAGGAATTGATTGTTAAATATTAACAAAGCTTATTTTCATTTGACAATTGTGAACCAATATTTGGGGGCGACCTCAAGCGGAAATAATAAACAAACTTTCAGATCCCTTTGTACGCCGCATTTGCGGGTCTTCCTTTATAATAAACATTTTAACAAATTACGTCTTTGCTTTGTGAACTACCAGTTCATGGTTTCGCACTTTATTGTGCCAAATATTTGGGAGTCCAATTCTGATACCTTTATCTGTATTTTAAAAGTATTAACCAGTATTCAAGATTACCATTGATATTAACTGTTACACCATTTGGGTAGATTTATTGCGACAAATTCACATGGAAAGCTGATTAACCAGTCTTCTTATACGTAGAAATTAATTTAGAAGAAAATTATTCAAAATCAGAGATGCCCCATACAGGACTGTAGATACGATATAGTTCACTTATTCTTAAGTGCACATGCCTCTCCGGTGCCTGATTCTAGGTATGTTGTCTCGGCGTTTACGGAGTATGGGTTTTAGATCCTCAATTGCGTAAGTAGTCGGTCTTCAGTATCGTAGTAGTTTGTGGTTGTCTTTTTATAAGTTTACTAGAAATTTATGTAAGCTTTCGGCATGTTACATCAAATACACTTCCTACTGAAAATATAAACGTCAATTCGACATTCTAACTTAAAAAAGTCAACTTGAATTCAACTGCTAGTGCACATCTGGCAACGAAATTCAAGGAGCGTTCCGAGTACTATTTCTTTAGAACTACTGGGGATTATTTTAAAGCTTATTTTAATGGTGGCAATTCTAGCAACTATGTACCGGATTGTAACAATGTGCTACGGTTTTGATAATTCATACAATTATTTTCGTTGTGAACGAGATAATTGGCTTTGTGTAGTAATAAGCGGTCGTTTTTGTATGAAATTCCTGCAATCAGTTTGCAATACTGTTGATGTTAAGTGTACGTTAAGGAATAGAGTTTGTTAATTTCATTATAACATGCACGGTTTCATTATTATTTTAATTATATAAAATGAAGTAATTATAAAGGTTTTTTTATAAGCTAATTATTTAACGTCTTTATTACCACAACTAAATACAAAGAATATAACAAACATTATTATCTTAGGTTTGTAGGCTTTAATAAAGTTTTGGTCACCCTTGAACATTACATTATCAGGATGGCACTTGAGACACAAACACACTTGTACGCCACAAATAAAATACGAATGTACAGGCCATAATGACCTTATTTCGCCAAAAGTATTCTCTGTTATCCTAGAAATTATCTTCAGGAACTTGGATTGGATAAACCTAGGACTAAATGTTACGTCCGCGAAACGTATATGAAGCACTTACGTTTTGAAGACGACTTTGTCTTACTTGTAACAGTTAGCTGTAGAAAGAACTTAACAAAAACAAAAAATATATTTATAAAAGTTTACGACGAAATAATAAAGTTGGTAAACGAATATATTGATTTAGGATAACTAATATCCCCAAATCCCTTGACGATTGCGGGACGGGATGGGATTTACGGTAAGAGAGAAGAAGCAAAGATTTAACCGGGAAAAAGATGGAGATGAAGGTGCCCAATTTAGAAAGGCTAGATATTATAACCGTCAAATGGATATTAAGTTTGGATTTAGATTAATAAACCAAAACATAACAATCAAATATACAGTATTTACAATTTTCTGATCCTACATATACTACAGTAAAATAAACATAGTCTAGCTAATAGCGAGGGAAATCTTCTAATTATTTTGCTATTAATTTATGTCATTACATTTATTAAAAAACCACTCGTAAAAATAACTATAAATAAAAATTACTAATACAATTCTTGTGAATGTGTGTTATTATTATTATTTATATGATAGATTTAGGGTTTTTTATGAGACAGGAAGCAAGCGATCACTTTGAAGCGGCTGTGTTGCCGACCTATCAGGGTACGCTCTTTTCTTGAAGGTTCACTTCGTTATCTAACTCTGCCTATTATCTTTTTATAAACCTACACCGATTCCTGATTTAAAGATAGACACAGTAATTGATGTATTATTAATGCCATCGTTTCTTAATTATTCTCTTAATGTCCTGTCTGTAACGGACAAGCTCAAAGAGAAGATCTTAATGCCTTTAGTTTAGTGCAAATGGGTATTAAAGCTCTGCTAAGCCCAAGAGAGACGCGAAGAGAAAACAGTATAAACCTAACAAGTCGCATTGCAATTTGACACAGGTGTGACAACATCTGTCGACGGAAACAGCTGCTGTGCCCTTTACGTAATTCATTTCACTTGAAAGCCGCCGCCTTTTGAATTTGCACTATTTTGTCTTTTAACTTTTCCCGAATTTACTCTTTAACATCTGTCTAAAGTGAAACGTAAGAGCAGTGGTGGCTTAGTGGCTTGGCGACTCCCAACCCGAAGGCAGTGCGTTTGAATCACAACTGTGCACCAATGGAATTTTCTAAATGCAATTAAAACTCGCCAGTACGAAGAAGAAAAATATGTAGTGCCTCTAATGGTATAAAGATAAAAGCTTTGATGTAAATATTTGACGAAGACGTCCTTTACTATATCAATTTTTCTAACATCAATCATCAACCACAAATAAAATGTACTTTATATATTGTAATGGTAAAATCGATATTTATTAATTAATTTACAGCAGACGCCTATCCACAAGATTAAGACTACTACCTTAAACTACTCGTACTAACAATTTATATTGCTACTAGCAGATCGGACAGACGTTGTCCTGCTTGATATTTCAAGCGATTAGGATATAAAACAAATTATGAAAGTACCGACTACAGCGCCATCTATCGGGCTGATTTGTGAATCTAAACCATCCAGGGACCAGGACTACACCGAAAAATCAATACAAAAAAAAAACATTCAAATCGGTCCAGACGTTTAAGAGCAGTTCAGTGACATACACATCATCTATCTTTTAAGTTAGATCAAACTGCACACGTTGTACAAATTTGATTGAAATCGGTTAAGTAGTTTAGGAGTCCATAGCGGACAAACGACGTGACGCGTAATTTTATATATTAAGATTACAAAACAAAATCTTATATTCATCTTTCAGCCTTCCCAAACCTGTCTCAAATATATTCACCGGTGGTGCGGAAGTGAGGAAACGCTTACACCGCCAAACCATCCGTGGATTTTGTGACTGTTGGCGGACAGTTGCTCATATCTAGAAGCAGGCCTACACAGTCAATATATATTCCTATACATATAAATAAAGTTCTTACATATTTTTCTAACTTCTTCCTGAGAAAAACAGATATCGTAGTAAACAAGAAGATTGTCATAAAATCGTATCCGATTGACTAAACTTAAACACTACCACAAGATAATCAAATAAACGATGCGACGTTTAACCGCCATCTTTGGAGACGCAATTTCCTTAAATTGGAACTCGGAGCGACCTTTCAAAGGAACCTGCTTCTAACGTACAAAGAATCCAATATAATTAAATTGCTTATATCCTTTGTTCGTAGCTCAGCAAAAACACCGCTTTTGGACTTCGTTGAATTATATTATAGTTTAGATTATTTATAGAGATGCATAATTTAATTTTGTCGCTTATATTTAAATTTAATTTAAATTAAAAGTAGACTGACTAGTATATAATAATGCATTGTATATAAATGTTCCAAAAGTAAAATATAACTGTACAAAGATTACCTATCCACATTGTATCCCTAACTTTCGTACTAACTGATGTGAAACTGATCTAAAATTATCGTGAGTCATGTGCTTATTCTTATTATTAACTTAAATTAAATTATTATTAAATTATTCTTTTTCATGCATTATTTTTTTAAATATTGTCCTGATCACTGTTTACAAAGGTTTTGATTGCTTTGTGTTGTTCCACTAGTTTTGTCTAAATAACTATATATTATATAATTATATAATCTTGCTTAACTTATCTAAAAAAAAAACTCACAGTTGTTGCCTGTAAAAGATCGCTCGCGAGCAATAAGGCCTATGTCAATTGTATTATCTTTCTGTATATGCAACGAAGTGTTAATAAATAAATTAGTTATTAATTTAATAAGTAACATTTACCAATCAGGCAAAAATATAATAATATTCTCTTTTACCTGTTATTGAAGAATTCATCAAATATTAGGGCAAGGTAACTCCATTATGTGCGCACTTATTTGCCTTACATTGTTTATTATCTTCATATGAGTCAGACTCTCTTAGTTGTAAGAGTTTGCGGTCTTTCTGTTAGCGTAATCAAACATTGTATATTGTTCTATACATTTATAGTTCTTTGTTCTTCGTACACAAGATAGCAATAAATCAAACCTCGTCAATTAAATTAAGCGGTGGATGAAACGGGCTTTAATGCTACGTGATCTCTTACAGGCAACCCGTGCTAAAATAGGGTTAAAAATAACATAATGAAGTCAGACTAAGAGCAACGAATAACCATGAAGTATACATATATATTAATGGTAAAAAGTGCGTTAGAAACGAAAAATATGATTTATAGAATTAAAATTGAAACAAACGAAATACTACTAGGCAACGAAGCTATAAACGATATAAATATTGATAAACCTCTCAAAGATATTTCCTTGTTTTGTCCCAATTAGTTAAATAGAATAAAATATTTAAATATAATTTAGTTAAGTTATTGCATTGTTTTATCTCAATACTAAGCAAAGCTTTTGTTGGGATCAGCTAATGTTCAATACTTAATAAATAATTCTGATCTTATATAAAATCGCTTGCAATACTACGCCTTTAAGGAAAAACTA